TTTAATCCCTTAGTTCCCGGCCTCAAATATGAGGGTATATTTTTGTACCTCGTCCCATATACAGATATAAAGGAATTTGTATGGGGTTTCAATTAAGTCCGGATATCTTGGCGCGGGTTCGGGGTGGTAACAACGACTTGCCAGTGTGTATAGTACGGATTCTCCAACATAAAGGAGGGTTTATGTAGTACATTGAGACGATCATATACAACTATGCTGTATAAATAAACATAAGATATGTACTGTTTATTGATTAGCCTATCTTTGTGCTGTTGCATACGTCCAGCAGCGGTGAGTTCATTTATTATAGCCAACAACAAGAAAGAAGATCAAGTGCCGTATCTATTGATTGCTCCCTTGCATAGACATGCTAAGAAACAGAAGGGGGCCAACCACTTAGCCTCTCTCTCTCCACGCCTTTCATCATCTTTCTTTGCCTCGCAAATCCCCGAAAACACACAACAGAAAATGGCTTCGCCTCTCCCCTACTGGTGTCTGCGTCTCCGCTTCTGCCTGGCCGCGACGCTGGCGGTCGTTCACGTGTCCTGTGCTCTTGCAGTAGGTCGCGCGGGATGTCGTTGCCGTTGTTCCAATCAGCATGCCAAATGCTGAAGCACGTACTGACCCTGCCTTCACGCGGAACGTTGCATAGGTATTTACTAAATCAAAACGAGTTAGCCAAAGCTTACGGTAAGGGTACCAAGCGAGCTACGCACCGTTTGTTCCCGTTCGAGCACTCCGGGCAGAAGTATTTCGTAAACTTGCGAGGCTTGACCTTGTAGATGGCACAGACTTTGCATGATCGGTGGCGTCGCTTCACACCCTGCTCGCAATCGACAGTATCTGGGTTTTCATCTAAACAATGTCCGTCGATAGCTGACGATGCGCTTCCTTGTAGCTGTGTTGAATCTGCTCTTGCCGGCGAAGGGGCAGTTCTATCTTGCGCAGATGTCGCTTGCTGTTCCAATACAGTCAAGCCCACCATAAGTTAGTTGTAATGTTGGAAGGCTGCTGAAGCAGATGAGGTTATGTTGACTGGTCAACATTTGACTTACCTCAATCTCGTCAAACGCTTCGATTGAATCTACTGCCAGTAGCTGCTCCATCAATTCATATGTTAGCCTTTATGTTAACTCAGAAACAAAATGAAAGGATTATGTTGGATTCGGCTAACATAACGTACCATACTCCCAGCCATCGGTACGCATTGCAGTGATCAGTGGTGCGTTCTTCGCTGCGGATAACCACGCCGTTTTTGGAAGCTCCTCGATGTCGTGGTCCGAATCTTCATCTGTCAGCTCTCCAATGTCCCAGTCACCGTCCCAACTATCGTCATCAGCATCCTCTTCGTCTTCAGGTTCCTCACGAAGCTCTGGGTCCTCGTCGGAGTTGAGCCCGGTGCATTCGTCAGCTCCTTCGTCCATAAAGTTAGGGTCTGTGTCAATAACACACGCAGGTACACTGTGCACAACGTCTGCTTCGTAAACACTCTCGTCTTCGTCACCTTGCATTCTCTGTTCACGATACATCACGTACGTTGGATATTATGTTAGACATGTTGTCAGCCACAATCCTTCTAGGTTGGATAAACGAACAAAACGCACCGTGTCATCGTCGCCATCGCTGTCTTCTTGTAGGAGAGCGCGGCGATGCTCTCTTGTCGGCACTTGAGTACTACGCTTTCGTTTTTCAGCACTGGAATCAGTAGTAGCTAACGCGATACCAGACTGTTGAGCAGGCAGCGCAGTCTCAACGCTCAAAACCATGTCCGCGACGACTTCTGCCACCTCCGTCTCGTGGTCTGCTTCCACCTCCATCGCATCCGCTATCGCGGTTGTCTCTATCGTCTCCTTCGCTTCAGCAATCGTCTGGTTTCGCGAGCCCTATTTTTCGCCCGCCGTGTCTGCAACCTGAGCACTTGCTGAAGGAATTTACAGACCTTTATACTGCGCCACCTCCATATCTGCCGTTGTGCGCTTGGCAGCCTTCTTCTTTGTCGCCTTCTTCGCCTTCGTCTGCCATGCTCCATCGCTGCCGCTCTTCTGCTCTGTCCGTCGAATGCGGCGCTCGTGACGCTCACTTAGCAGAGCCTCGCGACAGAGGCGCCTTTCTTGCTCGGTGAGGGGGTGACGCGGTGTCTTGGGTGTCGGCGCAACCATGTTGCTATCGGCCGTCGTTTTGAAGAGTGAGGAGGTTGGTGGCTGGTGGCCACTCGCTCTGCAGCGGGGTTGCCGTAGAGTTAGCGTCAGAGGAAGACGTTCGACTCAAAGAGTCACTAATACTAAGTTCCTTATCCAAAGGACACTTACAGCCCAAGACCAGGGCTCAAAGTTAACACCTTAACTTTTATGCTTCAAAACCAGAAGTGATTTATTTACTATTATTGCGGCCAAGCCGCCTAGGGGTAAATGTATCTCTTTAACTATCTAGCATAGTTAAACCTAATCAAATGCATAACGTGTGGCTTTCAGCCAACGTACTGAGAGACCTTGTTAACTCTCCAACTTATGTACTGAGAGTTTGTTAACTCGCCGGGTACTTCGTACCCCTGTGTGTTCCACACCATGTAACCCCGTTACACTCTCCCTCACTAAGATGAGAACATTCCGTTCTCGAACTTTCCTCAGCGAGGTCACGTCTTGTCAAGACGACGGAGGTCACTAGACCTCACCTGTGCGTTCTGCAGCTCCACGAGCTCACAAACGCGTTCGCATCCTTGATGCCTGGCACTCCCACTCCGGCCCACGGCCCAACGTCTCCAGCGCGTCGCGCCGCCCCTGCCTCGTCGGTCCCCAGACCCCCAACTGCGCTCCGCAACTGCTCCAAGAGCATCTTCGTCTCTTTCGGTGGCGGAGTACCACCAAGAGTATCGCCGTCGACACGGTCAACGCTCCATGAGCCGTCACAAGAAGAGAAGCAAGCTCAAAGCTCGTCAGAGCCGCGGGCGCCCGCCCAAAGGGAACGATGGTTTGTTCTCCGAACCTCGAAGACGTGTGAATTCGATTACCGACGAGCCTCATGGCAGCGAGGATATTCTAACCCACCCTCCTCTGAAGCCGCACGCTGGCGCTCCCTCTTCCCCCGCTTCC